CGACTTAACGACATCCTTTAATGTCAATAACGTTTAGGTCGTATTCAAGAGAAATATATGCGTATATTTTACATATCAATAATCATTATCATCAAACTCACCAGTTTCACATTAAAAAAATATGAAAGTAAAACTACTAATAGCCATTCGAAATGAATGTGTGTGTGTGTGGGGTGTGTGTGTGTGTTATTCTTTAAATAACCTTTTGAAGTTATATATTAGTAAAGTAGTAAACATTAAAAAAATATAATGACGTAGTCTCCTTGACATGATAAGTGTGGATGTTTCTTTGAGCATCGACACTCACCGCTTCGTCGTTATTATAGACTGATGCTCCATCTGTGACAGCGCTCACCACCAGCGCAAGTAACACAACAACGGCCATCTTCATTCTGTCAACTGCAACAATGAAACTGGTAATGAAAATGGTGGAGAATATGGTGTGTTTTTGACGGAGGAGACCCCAATGGGATCATCCAGTAACAGGGCGTTGGGGTAGCCTGATGGTTAAAGCTTTCGCTCGTCTTGCAAGACCCGGATATGATTACCCGCATAAAACAATGTGTGAAGCTCATTTCTGGTGTCCCCCGCCGTGATATTGCTTCCCCACCACCACTTAAGCATAAGGAACGCAATACTGAAGAACTCTCAGCCACCCGTACACTCTATAACAAACAGCTGCGGTGATGGAGATCTTACCTTGTGACGCTCCGTGTCTTTCTTGCACTATGAGGTATAGACAACCTGAGTAATGGGTTCACGCTAGTATTTATAAGCTCCCTGTAATTGGATTTACAGAGTTGTAATTGTCTTTACAGCGGATACCTTGATGCCAGTAGTTTATGAACTCACTCAACCGTGGCTGTGTTATATTAAAGTGTGTAATTGAACTGCTATACAATGAATCCTCCATTACCCGACAGAAACTGTCCGGATTAACGAATCATGGGTATGCAGTAGGATCCCCAGTTCTCGATACTCGCAACATAAATGTTCTCAAGTCCAAAGATATGCCTCACTGCAGCCACAAATGATAAAATTTAAAAATGTGTTAATTTCATATGCAGAAATGTACTTAGTGAAACGATATGATTGTATAAACAAATGAATCTATTTGCATATGATACTTCCAAAATGATATGATCTTATTTTATCATATCATGTTTAGAGTTATGGAAGGACGCCCTTCATCTGTTGATGTCCGGTAAACATAATTGAATGAATTAATGAATTAAAGATTGAAGTAAATGAAAAATCTATCAATCAATCAATCTTTCTTCTCTTTTTAACCACACATGGTGGTACAAGAGCATTAGATACATATTACACATAGATTTGAAAGCATTGCTGTAAGGTCGTTGCATAGTTTCTGCGTAGCTTAAACACGGTTGTTGATAATAGATATAAACTTTGATAATTTCTTAAGAATAGACAGTTTGTTGGAAGTGAACGATGATTTCATCTTATACAAATTAGCGAATGTACAATAATATGGCTCCAAATAATGAGATCTAATTTGAGTGAAGGCAGAACATCTAAAATAGATAATGAAATTCATCAGCTGTTGAGGGTGAATTACAAAGATGGCAGGGTCTATCATTTTGCGGGATGCGTTTCCAACGGCCAGTTTCAACTGGGAGATGAGGATTACTTGTTCTAAATAACAGTAAAGGATAAGATATTTGTTTTGGTAATAAGAAGCATTTTTCGTGTGATGGGGAGTATGGCTGATGGGCTGATTTGTAGAAAGACATGGGAATAGATGTTTCCTGTGTGAGTTGTGGCATGTCCAGTATGGTTTATTTGTTTATTGTTTGCCGGCACATTTAGCAATATTTCAGCTACATGGCAGTGGTGTGTAAATGTTCTGGGCCAGACAATCCAGTGATAGCATGAGCATCGATCTACGCAATGACATGTGTCAACCTTGATGTTGGGGAACGAATGAAGAGATGTAGGTTACAGATGTTTTACAATGAATGAATCTAAAACACAACAATTCAATCTTTATCATCAATTATAAAATAATATTCAACACTGTAAATGAATTACTATACAATCGTAGCAACAGTTGATACAAGAATTTAATTTGTATACGGATGGAAACATATCAACGTAATGGCATTCACGTAAATCAATAAACATACAAAAAATGTTCAGTATAATACACTACCCACCGTGTTCTAAGCACCAAATCTTTAACTAAAGATGACTATTGTGGTCCATCTACATAGCCATCAGATTTTGATGTTCTTGGTACCTTTCCTTGCTGTCTTCTAAAACTTAGCGATGCCTGAAAACAAGTTAGAGAAAAGCAAGGCTGTTCCACAATACACACATTAATCTTATTTAGTACCTACGAGTGCGAAATTATCGGGGTTCATATTTTTCATACGATGCTCTAGGGCAAAATATCCCTTTGTCATGGTGACGTGACGTCATGAACAATGCTATGACGTCACATTTCTTCTGTGTTGTTTTGGTAATAAGAGGCATTTTTCAAGTGATGGAGAGTTTTTCAGAACTCCATAATACAGTCCTTTGGAACTGCTTTTGATGTCACTGTGCTACCTTTGTAAATGCTGATCTTTAAGTACATTTCCTACAATCTATATATATGTATGTATGTGTGTGTGTGTGTGTGTCTGTTTTGAGTATTCTGTTACTTAATTAATAAAAAATGAGTGTGATGTTTTAAGGATCTTCGGGCCTATCTGGAGGAAATAATTTTCATTCATTCATTCATTCATTCATTCATTCATTCATTCATTCATTCCACTTAATTTCATTCCACTTCATTTCATTTCACTTCATTTCATTTAATGCCTTCCTTGAGAGGTACTATCAGCTAACGTTCCCAACATGCTCGTACATGGCTTTGTCTGTTTGCCAACATCTTTCTGTCGACAGGCGTCACGGTGGCTACTGGTCATTTGGCAATAAATGGTAAATCGGACGGTTTAGTAACATTGTATTCAATAGCTTCATCATCGCGCTATTTACGTCTTGAACACCACATGTCACCAATGAAATAGGTGATATTTTCTTTTGGGGTGAAACTGCAGAAATATGCAATTATCATCATCATTCATCATCATTTATTCCGTATAGATGGCCAAATGAAGTCAGCAGTACAACATGTGAAAAATATGAGTGAACATACATACTGCGCCACAAGCAAAATTCATCTGAATTTAATATATATCATTTACATTATTTCTTTAAACACCATTTCAATGAAAATACAAAGGTTAAATAGCTTAACATTGGTGGAAAGGTAGATCGGGTTATACATACTTGAGTGGTAATAATAATAGGCTGGAATGTATTTGATGCGCAAATCGTTTGAAGCTTGGCATACCAGAATAACATGATATTCATCTTCTATCTGCGTTGTACAATAAGAGCAAGATGTGTCTGATTATTTATGATATCTATAGGAATTCATATTGAAACCCTGCATATTACAACGCAGCTTTGTCAGGCATCTCCGTAGACCGGCATTATTGATAGATAAATATTTCTCAGGATAGTAGTCCTGTTTAATCATGGAATAACATTTCAGAGAGTTTGATATGGATAATTCATTGCTCCAATCTTGGAAATATACATCTTTATATCCTTACAGTTGGGTTGAGTGATGTACCAGTAACGAAGCCAAAGAAATCACTGACGATGGAGTTTGGGTTTACGCCGCTTTTAGCAATATTCCAGCACCATCATGGCAGGGGACACCAGAAATGGGCTTCACACATTGTACCCATGTGGGGATTCGAACCCGGGGCTTCGGCGTTACGAGCCAACGCTTTAACCACTAGGCTACCCTACCGCCCCCCAAAGAAATCAAGATCCCATGGACAGTAGTGTGACAGTCGTGAGTCACGTGACCTCGGACAGCACGTGAAAGGCTTTTTATGTCAGAGCTACAACTCTCATTCAGTCTGGTTTGTGAGCAAGCAGATATAAAATAATATAAGAGTGAGTGAGTTTAAGGTCACATCGCCCATACCGTGTTTAAGAAAGTTTTAAATTTATAAATGAATAAAAACAAAGTTAGATATTATACTTACCTGTCTGTAATTAATTAATTTAGTAATTAAATCTAAAATGTTTAACTATAAATGACAACACAACATAAAAACAGGCTATATATTGCCAACAACTGAAGGTAGATCACCATACTAGGGACCATGGGGACTTACAGTACATTTGCTTCCTGCATGGACCCTAGCTGGATTTACACCATCCCTTCAGCTGTAAGCAATTTACATAAATCTAGTCATACATTAAAAATACACATATTCTACGATTAAACAAGTGGGGACAGGGGGGACAATAATTTTAAATACTTTAACCCCTTTTGAGGATACTGTCACTAACAATCTGAGTAGATAATCCAATCATGAAATATTTATCAATTCACAAATAATTCATATAACAAATCTATTTCTTTATATAATGCTATGACTTAATGAGAGCTGATATCATTAAAGAGATTCTTCATAGTTCATGATTTGAAATAGTTATCCCTTGTGATGGAATATCAGATAATATATGAGGAATTAAGCTACACGTTCGAGATGTAATTTCAACCTACCATAGATATACATACACAGGCTGTTCCATAGCTGAGGAATGTAACTCTGTGGGCGGTGATGTGAAGGGTCAGGAAAGGGTCAGCAGGTGCGTTACCGGTATGGACATCTTGAAACATAATTTCATTAACCGTGCCAATAATGCAGAATCTCTCTTATAGTTTGTGTATGACCACTGGTATAATGAATATGCCACCCTGTAGCCACCCTGTAGCCACCCTTGTTTTTGACATTTCTCTTGATCATAGTATTTTTCAAATGCGTCATCTGCGTCATCGTTTCAGGAGCCATGAAATACAGACGTGCCAGTAAGGTCTAAGTAGGTGCATCTTCCATCAATTAATGTTTTGAAGCATCCATACGTACCTAACTAATATGTGAATTATTTGTGATATTTTACTGTAATCAGCGCTTAAAAACAGACACGCTGCTTGTAGGGGTGAGGGCACGCTGCTGGTAGGGGTGAGGACACGCTGCTTGTAGGGGTGTGGGCACGCTGCTTGTAGGGGTGAGGGCACGCTGCTGGTGGGGGAGAGGGCACGCTGCTTGTAGGGGTGAGGGCATGCTGCTTGTAGGGGTGAGGGCACGCTGCTGGTAGGGATGAGGACACGCTGCTTGTAGGGGTGAGGGCACGCTGCTTGTAGGGGTGAGGGCACGCTGCTGGTGGGGGAGAGGGTACGCTGCTTGTAGGGGTGAGGGCATGCTGCTTGTAGGGGTGAGGGCACGCTGCTTGTAGGGTTGAGGGCACGCTGCTGGTGGGGGGTGAGGGCACGCTGCCTGTAGGGGTGAGGGCACGCTGCGGGTGGGGGCGAGGGCACGCTGTTTGTAGGGGTGAGTGCATGCTGCTTGTAGGGGCGAGGGCACGCTGCTGGTAGGGGTGAGGGCACGCTGCTTGTAGGGGTGAGGGCACTTTATTATAAGAATGGGCAGCTGAATACAGGAACCACAAATCCACAAGAATATCACCATGCAACATTTGAAATGTCATAAATGAACAGGTAAAATTCGTCCATCCTAGTAAATTGGTTATGTACAATAACAAATAGGTCATAACCATATTTAACTGGTTGTATTCAATAAAATATATTCAATATCACAAATACACACATATAGATTACTTAACGAGTGTATGTCAGATACCATTTATCTTAGAACGAGTTTTACGACCGAAAGCCATATACATACGTTTGGAAACAAAAAGTTGTAAGATAAATGGCATCTGACAGACACTCGTTAAGTAATCTGTTTCTTACACACCATTTTATGGTCGAATAGATTCATGTTTCATATTTTTCTCATCGTAGCTGCGCAATAATACACAACACAGCGTTTATGAATAAGTGACGTCATTTGGCTTCCTAATCACTACTCATCCTCAAGGTGACCCTCCACAAAAACGTTTCTGCCACATCTTCGCGTCATCAAGGCAATAGTGGTGATGCAAACTAGATAAGGTCACAGAAAATTAATTAAACACTCTAAAACAATGATGTTACCATGTAAATGTGGATGATTTTAATTCTTGCAAGCATAAAATATGACGTCATCTTTATCGTTTGGTGGTTGTCGTCATCGGAAGATTGTTTTGGAGATCTCTGCACATTGGGGATCTGTACTTGTGTACCAGTTTACGTTCAATGTTCTCCCATCGACCGGAGCTATACCTATTGAGTGTGTGTAATTAGGTGTACCCAGTGTGCTTGAATGCGACATTGCTGAGGTTACGTTCACTATCAAAGGGGGAGTACTCTTATTCGCCTCAGCCTTCTCGTTTTTATACTTTTATTTGCATAATTTTATAACTACATAAAACACTTTCACCTGATAACAATAAAATCTGATATGTCTCAATTAACATCACAACTAAAAATAGTTAGTTTGTTGGAGGAGAATTTCAACATGTCCTTACGTGTAGCATAACACAGATTCTGTATCAACCATTACAGCATGCAGACACCTGCTATAGTGATAACACCTGTTGAAATCAACACACAAGAACAGAGTTTGTCAAAGAAAATCATTGTTCTATACTTTTCCTACTAAGGAAGGTTAAACTACTGACTGTGATTTAAGAGAGGAAAAGCTTGATGCTCTCTATGACCCATGCTGGGTGTAAGCTATGACTTAAGAGGATTGAGTGGTTAGATGTGTCTCAGTGACAGGATCTGTTTTCTGTTTTAAGGCACGGATTAGTCTTTAGGTTAGATGTTTTACAGGCCGTTGTTGAAAGCTGAAAAAAATGTTGCTGACTTTGACGGTTCCCGAGCTAACACACACAGTTTTCTCAACGTTCTCGGATTGTTGTTCATTGGTAACGTCATGATACAACGGCCTTACGTCCCAACATGACATACATACGTTGTCAAAACGTCGCACATAGACTATTACACAACGTTAAGTCACTAAACGTTTGTGAAACGGTAATGCGACTTAAACTGTGAAGATCATGTTGGTCTCACTAAACCTGGGGATATTACAGTGAATACCTGTGAAGACATTCAGGTTGGTCTCACTAAACCTGGGGATATTACAGTGAATACCTGTGAAAACATTCAAGTTGGTCTCACTAAACCTGGAGATATTACAGAGAATACCTGCGAAGACATTTAATTTGGTCTCACAAAACCTGGGGATATTACAGTGAATACGTGAGAAGACATTCAAGTTGGTCTCACTAAACCTGAAGATATTGCAGTGAATACCTGTGAAGACATTCAAGTTGGTCTCACTAAACCTGGGGATATTACAGTGAATACCTGTGAAGACATTCAAGTTGGTCTCACTAAACCTGGAGATATTACAGTGAATACGTGAGAAGACATTCAAGTTGGTCTCACTAAACCTGAAGATATTGCAGTGAATACCTGTGAAGACATTCAAGTTGGTCTCACTAAACCTGGGGATATTACAGTGAATACCTGTGAAGACATTCAAGTTGGTCTCACCAAACCTGGGGATAATACTGTGAATACCTGTGAAGACATTCAAGATGGTCTCACTAAACCTGAGGATATTGCAGTGAATACCTGTGAAGACATTCAAGTTGGTCTCACTAAACCTGGGGATATTACAGTGAATACCTGTGAAGACATTTAAGTTGGTCTCACTAAACCTGGGGATATTACAGTGAATACCTGTGAAGACATTCAAGATGGTCTCACTAAACCTTGGGATATTACAGTGAATACCTGTGAAGACATTCAAGTTGGTCTCACTAAACCTGAGGATATTACAGTGAATACCTGTGAAGATATTTAAGTTGGTCTCACTAAACCTGGGGATATTATAGTGAATACATATAATACTTGGTCTCACTAAGCCTGGGGATATGACAGTGAATATCTGTGAAGACATTCAAGTTGGTCTCACTAAACCTGGTGATAATACAGTGAATACCTGTGAAGACATTCAAACTGGTCTCACCAAACCTTGCAGTATGATAGTTCGCGCTGTTCACATGCTGACCATTGACCTGCAACTGTTGATTATAGTTGTTCTCCAATTTCACATAGCGTTATCACAGCAACGATACCATAATATTTTACGAAAAAAAGTAGCTATGATATTGTCGACAGTGGTGCAACTAATTATCTATTTGCTTGTAAATCAAAATCAGGAAGTACAATAGTCTGTTCCTAATTTCCCCATACCTACCGCTACATCAACAATGTCATCACGACTTACATCTCCTTTATACTGTTGACCCAGTATCATGTTGGTGTGTCTGTTCATCCAGAAACCTAACAATGAACTATAAATATATTTACAACACGCCTCACACACTCCCATAGCTTGTGCATTCAACAAGGAAGTATTTTGCACCGGTCGGATTTCTAATGGCGTTTTACTTCATGTCCAGGAGTAGTAGATATACTGGGGGTACGGGATCCCTTTTCAAGAAAGGTCGCTGTAAAGCTTTATTTCACTAATAAAGCTTTTGTCAGGCGCTTAGATCTCGCCCCAATCGTATATACTACTTTTGTATCAGTTAACTTCCCAGCCACACGTGACACTATTGTGCCACGCCTGTCACTATGACCGTGATCCTGATCACGTGGTGCTATCGTGATAGTTCTATGTCGTGTTGACAGGATGCTATTGGGATTACTTGGTAAGGTAAGTGCTAAATATTTTGCTTGGGGGGTAACATTGTGCTGTACGGTATGATCAATAATTCCTCTCTAACAAAACCTCTCCCTGGCCCATCTCTCAAGTAGTACAAGTTCGGCTCGTCGGCTTTGATGTCCACTTTATCTATGTTATAAGTTTTGACTGACCATATCGGATCGGTGGCTCGTTTCCGAGTGTCCCCTTCATGTTGCCCCGGCTGGCAGAGGTACCTCACGGGGGCACTATCGGGTATCTGTTTCTCCTTCACACACAATGGTGCAGCTGACTCAGCCACTACTGATTTCAGTTTGATAGCGTCGGCTGGTTTCTTGTCATTGAGCCGAGTGGTTTTGTGGTTGATAGCCGACACGACTTGAGGTAGCCGTGCTACCCATTCCGTCGATCGTTTACCCGGGTTGGCCATCTCTCTCGCATACTGATGCCTGAATAAGCGCTCGGCCAAAGTCCTATTGAATCTCTCAACTATGGCTAGGCTGCGATGGGCTCCGGCCGTGCCACGCCTGACCTGGACGCCGTGTTTGTCTAGCAGGTGTGACAAGATGGGTCCGGGGGTCGACTTGCAGCTCTGTGGGCCACGTCAGCGGACTGTGCTGGTATATGCGTTCGAATCCGCGGGCTACCTGGGACGAATCTTTTGCGGTCAACGGTTCGGCTTCCCTGAAGCGGCTGGCCACATCCACGACAGTTAGGGCATACTTGTACCTCATGTCGTGGGGTAGGAACATGAGGTCGGCCTGGTGAAGGCTATTGGGTGCGGTAATGCCAAATTTCCTTCTAGGCACGTAGCGTGGTGCCGGTAAATAGATCTGCCACAGGGCTTGTTTTTCAAGCCACGCTTTGGCCTCGTCCGGGCGTACTCGCGCCATTTTAGCCAGCTTATGTACGGCACTAACTCCTTTCCAGTACCCATGCCGGCTGTAGTAATTAGCCTCAAACTTTCTCTGGTTTCGTGACATGTCGCCCCGACAGGGTATCGTATTTATATATACACCTATGTTCTTGGTTCAATTTTCTCATGCCCGTACGCGTACGTGTTGATACCGTCCATGGCTATCCAATGCTTTGTGTCCATCGGGACGTCTTGTTTATAGTCAGTCCGTTTATCCTGTGCCCGTCGCTTCTAAGCGTGTTCATTTTATGCCTGAAGGTGCGGGTCTTGAACAGGGCTTCCTTGAATCTGGCGTGTTTGATGTGTTGTTTCACATGGAGTACATCTTGGGCCTCAAGCCTATGTACTCAGCTATGGGCGTGCCAGCACACTCGTCCTTCATCTTACCGCGGACGTTTTTATTTACCGTGCTGTGTATGGCATGGTCCTTGGGGTAGTTGCTGGTGTCGTACAAATTGAGGCGTTTCTTCATGTCCTCGTACACGTCCTGGGTTCGAAGCTCCATCAGCAGGGAATCAGTGTCCGTGTACAGCACTTCACACCTGTCGCGGTACTGTTTCTTGAGCTCATTGTAGTAAAAGTCGTACATCAGGTGTTTGGATAAATCGAGGATGCTAATCCTCACGTAAACAGACCGGTTGAATTTGATGTGGCTTTTCTTCATGTGTAGGGCGACCAGGTCGTCGTTGAATATCTTGCTCCAGTTGAATGCCGGGCTGGATATCAGTTTCCTGAGCTTGTCTTCCTCTTTCGCCCGAACCAGCTTCACGGTCACGCGTTTCCTCAGGTTCTCCATTGTCTTACCAAACACCGAGTCGTTCATGAGCTTGTAGAGGTTTTCTCAAAGTCACTGGTGGCCAGCTTTCGCAGGTCCGTGTTCATTCTGATATAGGGCTTCATCCAGGGGCTCTGGTTGAACACGAGCACCCTGTGTATTTTGGTCAGCCCCATACCCAACGACAGGTACAGCTGTAGGTTGTGATAGTGAACGATGTACTTGATCTTATACATTAAGTTGGGCACGAGTTTTTCAACGTCTGCCACCCGCCCACCCAACAAGTTATGTTGGTACTCAGACATCCAGTCCGGGTTAACCCTCATACGTTCGGGGGCCAGGAGGTAGCTATTGTGCGATGTGTGCAATGCCTTGGGGTATTCCAAGTCCACTTTGAGGATATAGCCTTTGTTCGAATCCGGCACGATGCTCATAACATTGATCTTGGGCGATGCCCATTCGAATCCCCCTGTAGGCAGATACTGGCTCATGGCCCAGCCCTTGTTGGCATCGAGGTAGAAGATGTGATTGGTTGGCTTGCTCGAGTCGTAGCCCTTCATGTATTGATTATTGGCTTTCGCGTACCGTTTGGTAGCCATGGAGATCCAACCTCGCAAGACTTTCTCAATGAACAGGTGCATGTCGTAATCGGTGAGCAATTCCAGCTTAACTCCGGTTTTCTTCAGCAAGGCATCCCAAGATAGACCTGGGCTGGTGTAGTACCATGCAGGGTCGAGTTGATACTGCTTAAAACACGTCCGCCTAAACGTCTCGAACACGTCGGCTAGCAGGCGTACGTCTGTTCTCAAGTACAGGTCGTGGTAGTCACCCAGATTCTTACAGCCCAGTTTATTCCATACGTTAATCGCGTGCGAGTAATCGTCTTGATTGATTGTCAAGTTGGTCAGGTTGCTGTAAAATCGGGTGATAGGAGGCAGTCGGGTCTCGGCGAACTTGGCCCAGCCATCCATGTACTCGTAGGGGTACACGCCCTTCCTCATCAGCAGAAGTCGAGTCTCAGAATCGGTGTATCGGTCGGTGATGGGGAAGGTATCGTTGACCTTGACCAGACTGTGGAGTTACGACAGGAGGAACTGAACCGAGTCGATGAACCTCAGACCATTCAAGCTGAAGGAGATGTATCTCTCCATGTTGTTTGGGATGCACGTCAGGTTGCCGTCACTTTCGCGATGGCCTGCATGATCAAGTTATCAAGTTGTGGAAGACCACGGGGATGTTTATTGTCTTGGGGGTGATTCTGAGCTTGAGGTTGCACGTGTTGTGAGCGGCGCCTCTATACTTACCGGTGACATGGCAGTGATTTCTCACCGAATCGCCGTTCAGCGGTTTATCACACACGTGGCAGTGAGTGCTGCAGCCGTGAGCTAGCCGGTCGGCTTGAGTCATACGCATGGGAGCGACTGTATGCAGTGCATTCCTGATAGCTTTCTCTTCCTCCTGCAAACACTTTAGAAACTTTTCAGCCGCGTCGGGACCCCTGTACACTACGGGAGCTTTCGTTTCCCCATCACACCGGACGACCACGTATCCAAACCCACAGGCCTCGTGCTCCTGTGTTTTTAGTGTGCCTGGGGTACCCCCAGCAGCCTCAACGTGTTTGACCAAGGCTTGGAGGTCGGCGTAGATGACATAAGGCACGGACATCTGGTTCTTGTGGTTGTCGAATTTTAGGATATTGTCGCCTTCCTTAGGCATGTCGACTCGTATGCATCAGGTTGTTGAACCAAGCATGGACTACCTTAGCGTTAGTCACCGAAAACCTATACCTGGCAAATACATCCATAAACTGGGTGTCAAAATACAGCCCATTAGCGACCACGATCTTCATATTCGCGAAGTCTATGTCCATCTTAGGGTAAAACACTCCAGGCTTGTACATTTTGAAAGTATTATATAATGGGTATATACTCTAACATGTACGTAACACTTCCAGGAATAATGAGGTCGATCAGCTGATGCATGCGATCGATAACACGTCGGGTCAACAAGTCGCACTCTGCGATATCACCTACTTTACGCGATGGACCAACATCAACGTCAGCAATAATAAGCTGTTCGTCAGTGGCACCCGCAACCAGATAACCGACGGTTACTACAGCATGTGCTCGCTAAGCAATGAGGTCTTCGAGCCCTTGGGGGCCAAACTCAAGATGAACGACTCAAACGGCACTGTGGTGTTAACCAACAACAGAATAAACCCCTCGAGGCTCGGTCAGCCATTGGCGAGGACACTCGGGATGTCGGCGGACGAGATAAAACCCGATAAAACTACTGTCACAGGCACGAAGTTACCCAACCCAGTACCGTACCGAGAGCTGTGCATTCATCTCAGTCAGTTGAGCACGACAGACAACATTAAAGGTAGCCACCCTTCCATGATACTGAGAGCTGTACCGGTGAAAACGGAGAAATACGACGGCAGCACCGTGTCGTTTTCACTGCGGCAGTATAAGAGGTTAACTCGGGGCAACATCCCTAAGCTGATAATATCGGTGTTAGATATAAAGCATAATCCTGTGAATATATGATACCTCAGCATAACACTGCACATAAAATGACTAGCGCAAATTGTATGCCTTGCAACTGAAAAAACAACATTTACAAACGCGTTGAAGTCCCCTCCATCGGTAGAACCCTAGGTGACATAGTACATGTCTCAGGAGCAGCCCTCAACACTCGGTTCGACCTAGTCCGCATCGGTGATGATAGATGGACGGTATCCCAATCGTTTGGAGGCAAACTGTTCGACTTACAACATGTTGATAGCACGACCGTCGCCCGAAACAAGCAGTATACCCTCGTCTTCACCGACGAAAACAAGTGGGTGTTGTTGCCCGTTAAAGTCGACTGGTTTCTCAACATTAGGCCCGGCTCCCCCTATGTGTTCAAGGAGAACAAAGACAACTACCTAAACAAAGTCGTGAATAACGGAACCCTGCTCGTGGCTTACGTCCCGGCTCGGAGACGTAGCGTAGTCATCAGCCCAGTCTCGAGTGCTACAGCCCACATGCTATCGAGCAAACCCGGGATGCAAAACGTGTCATTGCAGGTGGTGTCTGAATTCGGAGGCGTGGTCAACATCCTGGAGAGCCTGCCGGCGAACTCCACACTGGTCATCCAAGTCTACCTAGGGGAACCATCGTGGGATGAAGTCGAAATCGTGAAGGAAATCAAACTCCGGTGGGTGAAACGGCACCAGTATCAAGTTTGCACAGTTTACGTGCGGGTGGGTGTCGACTCCAACACCAGTCTGCAGGGGGTCACTGTGGCCGTGGAAGACGCAATATGCAGGGGGTCACTGTGGCCATGGAAGACACGATATCACTCACCAAGATCTTCCTACCCGACAACATACTCTTCATGGGGGTGAAGTGCACCCCTGAGAAATTATCAGAGAACAATTGGAAACTATCTCGTAATAGCATTATAGCAATGTCCAATCGGCATCGGCCCAACGCCACACTTAACGATCTAGGAGACACGGAGGAATTCGATCTGCCCGGTGAGGAAGACGCCTTGTATGCCCTACGCTTGAAAGACAACGTGTATACGAGGGCGGCAATGGCCGATCATCGACCCAACATCACACTCGGGGACCTAGGAGGCATAAAAGGATTCGATCTGCCCGGCTTGGACGGCTTGTACATCCTGCACTTACACAATGGTGTGTACTGGCGGTCGCATCTGCCACCCGACTTTATAGAGCCCAAATGGTTGATCAACATAACCCTCACCGCACCTTATATCTCGTTTAACAAAGATAGGGAGGTCTCCGAAATTAGGAACAACGGCATCTTGCTTGGGGTTTTCGTTCCAAAGTATAGGATAAGTACTCAGCTAACACAGGATCACACGAGTAACATTTTAGTTGCTTTAGGTTTTAATGACGAGTTAAGGTTTGACGTCCCCAATTCCCAATTGGGCGTTATGACTGTGAAACCAGGTTCCACACTTGCCATAGAAGTCTGCCTCGGGGTGGTTCTTGATGATACAGAACGACAACTTTTACCCGGGGTGACAATACCCTGGGGCGTCATAGGCAGGACCAACGTTGCTGTATCATCATACAACCGGATCCCTCAACGGGTTCTATAGTCCCCTCAGTAAGATGCCCCCATGATGTTCGTGTGGATGCAGAGTTACCTATTAGCCTCTCATCTATTTCCCTGTACGGTGATCTAAACCTTATAAGCCTCAAATACACTGTTCAAGAATGAAATGTCGCACGATTTAAACATCTTTTTCAGAATATATTATATGCACACAGGATGAGGCTGTACCCAGTCGTGGAGGAAGTAGCGAAGACACTGGAAACCGTAGACGGATTCCACTTGAGACAGTTATGTGAGGTAAAACGCCAACTAGAGCAAGACCGCGACACGCGGAAAGCACTATATAAGAAGTACCACAGAGCTTTCAATATTGTGGACGGGACTGATACTGCCCTTATGGCAACCAGCATGGGACTAGGGGCGGCAGGTGTTGGGTTGTTAGCCACCATCATGGCCACACCTATAGTGCTAGGCATTGAAATAACAGCTGGGGTGGTAGGGGAGGCAGGGTTGCTGTTAAATTTGCATCACGCAGACTGCATCGCAAGGCATTGAAACACGACGAGATCAGGGTTCTAGCCGAAGCAAAGCTGAACACGGTAAGTGAGCGTATTTCCACGGCACTCACTGACAGTAAGATCTCAGAGGAGGAATTTCGTCATTCAATCCTCTCTGAACTCGACAAGTACCGTAAAATGAAACAAGAAAACCGGTCCAAGTCTCGTAAGTCTGCTATCAGCGAAGACGAGAAAATAAAATACAAAGAACAGGGGGTACGAAAAGCCCAGCAAGACTTCATTACGAACACCAAAGAGATCATACGCGATTCACATTAAACTGTTTCATCGAGGTCAACATGACATAGAGCTATCACGATAGCGCTACGTGATCAGGATCACGGTCATAGTGACATGCGTGGTACAATAGTGTCACGTGTGGCCGGGAAGTTAACTGGGGATTCAAAAGTAGTATATAAGATGGGGGCAAGATCTAAGCGCCTGACAAAAGCTTTATTTGAAAAATAAAGCTTTACAGCGACCTTTCTTGAAAAGTGATCTCGTACCCCCAGTATATCGACTACTACAGGTATGTGTGTGCATTTTCAAGAGCCATTGTTTTGATAGCTGTAAAGACAATGGAGGAATACTTCGTATTGGTGTCTATGTTATCATTAACATGAACAGTACACACACCCTTACCATCGCTCTACAGTTAGGCAATAGGCTTATTGCCTCCAGTAAACCTTCCCCTTCCGACTCTGTGTACATGTATGACCGTAGGTATCTTTTACTCAGACATTGCATCTGGTGTAACATGTAGATGTTATAGGTAATAAAATCTTCTTCGAGTGACATTTTAGAAGTAGGGACATGCACTATAGAACAAACATTATGGATACCAGCTTCATATATTTCGTAGGTGCAACGTGTCTATAGAGATTCTTGTACCGTTGTCAAGCGGAAATGTCGCCTGTTGAGTAAGGTAATGTAATCATCAAGGAAGTAAATTGATCAGGGCAGGATTCTGAATGGTGGGTAAGACGACACATACAAGTGTGAATATTATACTTCCGAGCACAGTTGTGGCATGTTTATCTACTGTTTTAAAAGAAAGATGGTTACCTTTGTATCTATATGTAATGGTAGATGAATCAATATGACAACATGATATCTGTACAAATATGGACATCAGGAACATAAAAAGTAGTATGCATCCACCGATGTTGTCTACACTTGTGATGATCAGTGACTGGAAACTGTGTGATGAACTCTCCCTTTGTTTTGTGTTGTCTTACACACCTGTAATCAGCACAGCGTGGTACCTGTACGCCAGTAGCTGATGTGTAAACTTAACTGACCATGTCCACTGACACTAACTACAGTTTTCCAAAATATTATTTGCTTCGTTTGTACATTTAGTTTCATTTAAGTCAGTTTCATTCCGATTATTGTAACGGCCGTAGCATGTTCTTTTACACCATCGCGTGCACATGCAGTTTAGTTTGTTCATGGATGCTAAGAGTAATTCTCCAGATAAATATGTTGCTAAGCTTTGCAAATACTGTAAATCTTAGTGCAGATGGATTCCATCTAAAGCAATTGCTTTCATTGATAAAGGAATATGTTACAATTCTAGTTTTACCGTACGTTTATTGTTTGTGTCAGTTCATACACCGTACCAATGTTCAGACATGCAACATGTAAATCATTAATTTCATTTAGGATTTGTTAGTCATATGTTATGTACTGAATTCAGTTATCTCCAGATCGATCATATCTTTAGTCAATTCACATAAATATGTTATAGGTAATGGAAAAAGTATTTTTGTTCGATATGATATGTCTAACGTCACTGGGGTGAAACGAGATGGACGTGTGTTTAATATTTCGTAAGTTATTGATCATGGAAGTAAGTTATATACGAAACCAAAGATGTGTATATGAATGTATAAGAAATGGTACACATTTTCGTACTATGTAATGGCTTGATAATAGACAAGTTGTTTAAATGTGGCAAATTTTTACTGCAACTAAACCACAGGAATTGTTTGATCTCAACTGAAAATATAACCATTACCAAGAGGGTTTCCATAACGAACGCCATACATATACATGTTTCAGGATCAGAAAGTCGCACCTGCTAGAAAGAAGAATGAACCCGTGTGATCTACTTTGTCTTCTGATCTTCATGACCCTCCTCTCTGGAAGTAAGAACAGACGCCATGCTGCCAGAGAAACCTAGTTTTCAAACAAACACTCTTTTCATTGTAAAGCTGTCATTGTATTGGTGTAAATTATCTTCGCAAATGAAGATACACATCTATTTGTGAGATATGTATCATGTAACAAACATAAGTTCGCAACCGGCATCAAGTCGTACAGTGTTTTAACGGGGGCCCAGTATCCAAACTCGTTCATGAATAAGCAGAAGGCAATAATGTACTGTAAAATAATTTGCTTGTGTGGCTATATTCATTCTTGCAGATCCTCAAAGAGAGTCTGCTTTTCAAATATCAGATGTTCCACTTGTGGTACTATTTTGTTGCATTGATCAATTCTCTATTGTCAGTTTGCTGTACAGAAGAATGCATATGGTACATCATACATGTTGTCGGTACACCAATTAAAACAAAGGACCTTGTTTCCAGGTCAAACATCGCCAGCACCGCCCGATACGTCCGCAGGTGGTGAGTGTTACAAAAATGTAAAATAAAGCAACGGAGTGAGTGAGTATAGTTTTACGACGCACTCGGCAATATTCCAGTTATATGGAGGTGGTCTTTAAATAATCGATTCTGGACCAGACAATCCATGAATCAACAGCCCGAGCATCGATCTGCGCAATTGGGGACCGATGACATGTGCCAACCAAGTCAGCGAGCCTGACCACCCGATCCCGTTAGTCGCCTCTTACGACAAGCATGGGTTACTGAAGATCAGTTCTAACCAGGACCTTCACGAGTCGAAAGCAGCGAAATTTACTTAAAGGTCACATGAAACCAAAAACACAAACATAATTAAAACACAATTATCACTTTTTCACGACATATAATATACATTGCTGATTTTGAAGAAACAAATAAACAAATTTAAAAGCGTACAATCGCAAATCAAAAGTGCGATATTTTGTATTTGGGTTTTCTTCCCTCGAAACGAAGCACCCGGGAGGCAGAACCCAGTCAGAGCGGGTGGGTGTGCACTTAAGTGTAACGAAGTCTTTCATTGGGTGGTTTATTTGCCAATACGCTAAGGGCTCATTGTGTGTGTATATAGAGATGTTGGGTTTTGTAAATACATGCTCATTTTTTCTGCATTTGCGTTCGATCCAATCAACAAATACTGGGATGGTGAACTACTGCGTGGCTGGAAACTGTCGTTCGTCCAAGTACAAAGCAGGACTTGAATTTTGATAATTTGTTACTGTAAGGCCATACCGAAAGGTATCAGAATGTGCAAAGTTGTGTTTTGCGTTGCAAATGACCTTTAATTATCCTGATTGCATAGATAACGCTGGTATGACTGATTACACATTTACCCCACATGTGATGCTGAAGCAGTTGCCCTGGAACATATTTCAGCCAACGGTGGCCATATACATTCGGACTGATGTTTTTCCTCTTTAACGTCATTCTTCTGTCGTGTCCTTTGCTCTGTTCTTGATTGTTGTTTCGGGTAAAATACAGTGTCATGGTTTGAGCATTAATATCATGGGTAGCTATTCTCGGAACGTTCGTAGCCTTACAAACCTCTTAAGCCCATTCCTAACACATTGGCTACGATCAAAGTTAAGAATTCTTAGGGCTTCGAACGTTTCGGGAATAAGGGCCCTGATCTCAACTCTACTTATATATATAGTATGACCAGAAATTATTGAGAATTAAGGAATATGTTTAATTGGATTTCTAGTATAAACAACCTTGACCAGCAATCAAGTGCTTGGTTTCATTCAAGAGAGACAACTCCGTTAATCCTTTTTCATTAGTTTGTGAAGAGCTATCCCCCTTTGTTTACTTGCTAGCAGACGACATTTCCTCAGTATGGATGATTTAGACTGACTGACTGACTGAGTTAAGTTTTACGCCGCTTTTAGCAATATTCCAGCAATATCACGGCGGGGGACACCAGAAATGGGCTTAACACATTGTGCCCATGTGGGGAATCGAACCCGGGTCTTCAGCGTGACGAGCCAACGCTTTAACCACTAGGCTACCCCACCGCCCCGGATGATTTAGAGAAGAGGAAGTTGATTTTAGAGTATTATAACAAGAACATCAGATCAGCTAAAGTGATTTCAAGTAGAACAGGCATCCCTTTGTCCACTGTTTATCGTTTGTTGAAAAATATTGCAAATGGATATGGCATTGAGCACCAGGGAGGCGCAGGTAGGCCAAGAAAATTGACTGTCGGTGACAGGAGGCGGCTTGGTATTCTTGTTTCTAAAAACAAATGAAGGAGTTTAGAAAACTTAAGGCTGGATATGATTAATAGAGAACCTGTGGCTGTCTGTCAGGAGGCAATTAGAACTGAGCTGCATGCAATGGGTTGGCAGAAAAGTCGAGGAATTCCATCACCGATCATGAAACCTGAACCAAAGGAGCGAAGGTTGAACTGGTGCTTACAGCATAGAACTTTTAACTGGGATAATGTGATTTTCTCAGATGAAAGGTCTGTGTGGCTGTTTCCTAATACACTGAAAGTCTGGACCAAACAAACTGAAAAACCTTTACAGCGCCCAAAGTACAGTCCGAAATTTAACGTGTGGTGTGGCATATCTGTGTTAGGGGCAACGCCCCTCTGTGTATTGAAGGGAATATGAACAGTGAACAGTACGCATATATTCTCGAGGGACATTTACTTCCATCTGATCACGTGTTCTATGGAAAGTTTTGGATTTTCTAGCAGGACAACGACCCAAAACATCGTTCAAAGCATTCACAGGCCTGGTTTCGGACCCAAAATATGACATTATTAGATTGGCCAAGCTATAATCCTGACCTACATCCAATAGAAAATGTTTGGGGACTTATGAAGGAAAGTGTCAATAAGAAAAATCTGACAAATATTGCTGAAATGAAAGAAGAGGTGGTCCGATATTGGGACAGCATGGACCACGACTTTCTATCTTTTTTGATCAGTAGTATGCCCCGCCGCATTGAAGCCTGCATTGCTGCCCATGGTGACTTGACAAAATACTAACTGTTCACCTGTCTTTGAATCTGGAGTTATGTTCTGCTAATATTCACATTTAATACGTGAGTAATGAGTGAAGAAAATAAAAAATTTACAATCTTTAAATTCTCAATAATTTCTGGTTGTACTGTATTATCTCCGTCAGTTGTTAGTGCATTCAGAAAATGTCTGTTTATTCCAGTACAATGTGTGATGCCCATTAATGGTGTCCCCCCGCCGTGATATTGCTGGAATATTGCTAGAAGTGGCGTAAAACTAAACTCACTCACCCCGTTATCCCATGTAATGTTCATCAGACCTATGTGTGAAGTATCATCCGACTGTACCCCTATCACACAGATATATAAGGACGGTAAATGTCACAGAACTTGACAAAAGTCAAGTAAAGTAAAGTAAAGTAATTAAGACTGGGTCTCGGCAGTGACTGAACGAATTAAGAAAGATCAGTGTAAACAGTACACAGTTACATGTAACTCCAAGTCTCCCATCCCTCGATCACTTTTAGTTTTAGTGATTTCTATAATGACGTTTTAGACGTCACTCTTGTAAGGCGTTACTACCAGCTAGGTCACGTTGAGGGGCAAGGGTATATGCGACCAGAACATTTCCAAATGTTCTTTAAAGAGGGTGAGATGCTTATCCTTTAGTTCTTACACAAGAGTGTTTATGGACCGATATACTGACTATTTGTAGCTTACCTAAAACTCATAAATGAAGTCAGTTAGACATGACAGGATCCGCGGTTGTGAGTTCAAATCTTTTTAACATTCTTCCCACAGAAAGATAATATTATTTTACGCCGCATTGAAACAAACTCGGTTGTTCCTCCTATACAGAATAGCCTCAGCTCTTTGTCGTATTTTAACAGGGTTAATAGCATTATACTGATAATATATTTCTCCTCATTTTGCGATATTGTACAAACGTCATATATTTGTCCACATATATGACATTTGTGATGTAGTCATCATTGTTAGGGTGTACTCAACGATTGGTATTTAAAGAGTTAAAAAATATAGCACATTCCTGAATTGTTAACGTTTCTTAATAAATTTAACGTGATAAAAAGACAAGTTTGTCATGCAATTGAGCTACTGTGTACACAGACGAGGTAAATTTCATATTCAAGAAACATAAGTAGGTTTGTTAGTACTTGTTACACATTTTAAGGAATGCACAATATTTCAAATCACAGCACCACAGAAGCAGGAGTCCTCGATTGGTGTTGGAGTGGTTATAGGTGTGTGTATAATGCTGGTTGTGGATGGCGTCTTGCTGTATGTGGCGTACCTCTTCAGGGACGAAATAGCAGACTGCATAGGTAAGTATGAAACAAATGATTTTTTTATTTAAACTTTTATTTCAAAGTAAATACAAACAAATATAGTTTATTGCAAGTTCCAGTACGTCAAGAAATGAAAAATGACGAAATCTGTAGGAAATGGACCATTCTTTCAGGTTCTGAGAATTACAATGCATCTCATTTTGACATATACTTAAAAAAAATAGTATGTAAGTTGACACTTGATGCAATGACTTCCACAGTTGATAACATGTTGAGACAGCAGAATACGATGATGTTTAAGTCCTCCACAGATTATTAGCGGTCATTAGTTTCTCAATACATGGCAGCATGATACGGTACACGGGGGTGTCTCGGGATTTTATACTCCAGGCAGAAGCTGCACTCATCAGGGAAGACAACTTGGTGGCAGTTGTAGCCTCAGTTCACTCACTGACAGATGAAAAACTGGTGTTATACATAACGATCATCTCCTGAGTGTGGTCTACTCGTAGTTTGTGTATGACAGCGACGTTTGTAAACGCCTGGCGACAGTCTACATCAGCCATACTTCTTCGTACTTTTGATAATTTCTTGCTCATAGTATTAATGAAACATTTCAATTTTTTCAGGAGTCAAGAAAGCCAGAAATACAAATGTGCCAGTAATGTCCAAGTAGGTGTATCTTTTACAATTAATGCTTTGAGCCATTTATAACTACGAAACTAAAATATGAATGATTTATGAAATTTCGGTAATTAAAACTAGTTTGTTATTAAAATACCTTTAATATATATGCAGCTGATTTTAAATGTCAGCAATATATGAACATCAGTTGGATACATTAATACAAGTGATCAGGTTTAAATAATGAACAGATGCGTCAGTTATGTCCAAGTAGGTGCATCTTTCTACAATGAATGTTTTGAAGCATTCATAAATATTTCATTAAAATGTGAATCATTTATGCTATTTCACAAATTGAAACTAGTTTCTTGAAGAGTTTGAACGCGTCCTAACTTTGTCGCCATTACACATATTCCCTCTCAACCATTACAGCATACAGTCTCCTCAGTCCACAGTGATCGCACCTGCCGAAATCCAAAGACAAGGCGAGCGTTGGTCAACGTAAAAGATTACTATACACGTTTCCATTGAGGAAAGCTAAATGGTGAAATAAGATAGTAAAACGGCTCCCTATATAAGACATGACTGCAGAGGATTGAGTGGTTAGACGCTGATGTGTCCGACTGCAGTGCTTAGCTTTCAGTCTCTGCTTAGTGCTTGTTTAGGTTAGATGTTTTAGATGCCGTTGTGACAAGCGGAAATGTTCCTAACAGTGGCATCGCTCACTCACTCACTCACTCACTCACCTACACACCTACACACTCACTCACTCAACCAATCAGCACACTCACTCACTCACCCAACCCACTCTCTCACTCACTCACTCAACCACACACTCACTCATTCACTCACTCACTCACTCACTCACTCACTCACTCACTCACTCACTCACTCACTCACTCACCCAACCCACTCACTCACTCACTCATTCACTTATAAATGTGTCTTCAGATGTTCCGTAATACCTCGCTGTCCTTTCAAAGATAAATGTGTCGGAGTGGCAATGAAAACTGACTATATGTGTCTATGTAGGTGGAGGCGACGAGTACGAAGTACCAGTGGACAGAAATGATTACGAAGCCCTACAGAGAGCAGCTGCTGACGTCCCCAACACTTATGAGAAGATACGGACATACCAGAATGTGTGAAACGAGGAGACACTGACGATCAACTACCAACAGTCACCTTTACAATCAATGTCCATTGGACATTTGCTCAGAAGTCAATGGAAACTCTAACGTTTGATCATAAAATAGAAATTCAGTTGTGTCAACTGAACATTAATTACTGCAATATTTTATGTTTTTTGTGACAAGCAGTTGCCCTTAATACATAATGATCATAAATGTGTGAGTTTAATTTTACGCCGCTTTCAGCAATATTCCAGCAATATCACGACGGGGACACCAGCAATGGGCTTCATATATTGTGGGCAAGTAGGAAATCGAATTCAGGTCTTCGGTGTAACGAGCGAACGCCTGAACCACTAGGCTGCAGTACCGCCCTGGTAGATATTATATAACCCTCAGATGTAAAAAAGTCCGAACACCACCATCATGTTCAATCTTATTCTTTGGTTTGTTGTTTAAGACTGTACTCGGCAACATTGAATCTATATCACCGCGGTCTGTCAGTAATTGATTGTGGACCAGGCAATACAGTGGTAGACATCGCGAGCATGAATCTACGTAGTTGGAAGGATATGGGGAAAAAAAAATATGATCTCCTTGTCTCAATATAAAACTTACAAATGTGTAATCTACACGTTGAGTCTTGCTTTAACAAAATGTGTACAGTTAAGTGTGTATATTCATGAACCAGTGAGCGCTCAAGTTTACATGAACCATTCCGAATGCTTACAATCGGAACATTATACTCGGTACTGTCAGGTATTCCGATGTTTCACAACGCAAGTTGTGAATCTTTGCCATATAACAAATGTCAATGACATTTCACTTGACTTTTCGTTATTTCGTTTGTTTCTACATTTACCATAAAACATAAGGTAAGCACCTGCTTGTATTGACACCTCTTGATTAAACGCCTGGACAAACATCAGATTCATCTACCTCATTTACCATAACTCATAAATTAAGCACATGCTTTCATGTCATGATGAAATTCAAGGTCAAACGACAGATGATACAAAGCATCAACATACTGTGCTGCACCCTTTTCTTCAGATCAAGAATTCATTTCTCAAACTCATTCTTACGTGCTTTATGAAGAGCAACAATATTTTACAACAAACTACACTTTGATCACTTTCGTTAAGATTTCTACATTAACAAGTGACAACGTTGAGGATATATTTATACATGTTTGTCGGGTGACAATTAAACCTGTCTCGTATAATCAACAATTTACTCATGACCCCTGAACTTTAAAAAATGCCCCAACAATGATGTACGGTATTCTGATTTTTGCTGTTCGAAGGAAGAGCTTTTTGAACGCAAACCATATATATTGTATAACATTATCAAAATTACACTTAATGGACAACACATCCACATTTCGATTACTTTCGGTAAACACAAACAGAGCTTGACAGTCCTTCATACCATCCAGTATTCGTGTTATTATTGCAACAAGTGTTTTCGAAAAGTCATCATGTATGCGATACCTACTACTTTGGCCTCTTTACCTATGTGGTTAGTTGTATGGAATCACCAACATTCATTTTGTGCTTGTAATTATTATGTATATTTTTGTGAATTTTCTATATACCCTTTTTGAGGCCGTTTTTAATACAAAGAGAATTTCCTCAGGGATGATAAAGTTCTCAATCGTCCACGTCTCAGAAGCGTTCAATATTTTAATGACCATCGGGTGAATGGAAACTTGGGCTATTGGTTTGTAGAGGCAGCAGATAATACGCTGGTATGACACTGGTTCGCAGAGTTGATGTATATACATGTATGATAGGGTTGGGTATTGCCCAAATTTTCGTATTGCGATATATTGCGATATGTGTTGTCGTATTGTTATATATTGTGAAAGTATTTTACTTAAACCGTCCATATGTAAATATCACCCCCAAGTAAAAACGTATGGATATGCACTATTTCACAGATTGTCTTGATAATCTTGACCTTTGCCTCTAACGATCTAGTTATATTTGATTGCCATTGGTGTGCATATATCACCATGATATGACCGGAAAATATATCCTTTCCAAAATAACACCACGTTTGTCTTTAATGACAGCAGATAACATTTCATGGTTCTGGAAACGAATATTTTCGTGCTATTCTTTTTTGACTTCTCCTTCCAATTTAAAAAGCTCCTGGTGAAATATATGACTTGGCACATATTTTCAACATTGTCCAAGCTATGTGATTCCACACTTTCATGTCGAAGTTTAACGTTTAAATTTTGCATAAAAAAGACAGACAATTTTCACAGTCATGATTAACCTTGTGTTCTGAGATAATCTGGCGCTCCTTTCACGAAGCAACTTTTACTAAGGTTAACAATAACTACCATTCTTTTACATTGCACTAAGGTTGCCTTAGTGATTTACGATCACCTTCGTGTTTTGTGAAAGGAGGACATGTTCTTTTGTTTCTCGTTTAACATTTTTAATGTGCCACTTTCTGCTAGATAGAGGGGGTGGGATAGACTAGTGGTTAAAGCGTCCGCTCGTCACGCCGAAAATCTGGGTTCGATTCCCAACATAGGTTCAATGTGTGAAGCCCATTCCTGGTGTCCCCCGCCGTAGTATTGCTGGAATATTTGGAATAAGAGGCGTAAAACTAAACTCACTCACTCACTCTGACAGACAGACAAACAGACATTCCCTTTTTGTAGAGCAATGTTCCAGCAGTTATGTCTTTGGCAATTTACATCTCTGAGCTATGATCTACCGTGATCTACACTCAAGTTTCAGTGAGTGAGTGAGTTTAGTTTTTCGTCGCACTTAGCAATATTACAGGTATATGGCAGCGGCCTAAAACTAGGTTAACTCAATCACTACAATAAGTAGAAAAGACGCCTGAAGGGATCGTGACTGACAGCAATACAGCAAGAGGTGTCATTAAGTATTCAAGTAAATTGTTTTTTATATGACGATGTGTTGCTTATGGTACATTTTATCATATTATGCATCAGCTTCATATATGACAAATATGTTGTGTCAAAGAATACTGTAAAAAAACTCAGGTAAAGTTAGATCTAACTGAAAAATATAACAGTACACTTTTAGTTTTTTCCTTAACTGACCAGGGGAGGAGGGGTAGCCAAGTGGTTCACGCATCCGCCGACGGCCCGGGTTCATGTCCCCCTATGGGCAAAATGAATGAAACCGATACACGGTGACCTCTGCCCTGATATTGCTAGATTAATGCTTAAGGCGGCGTGAAACCAAACTACACACTCACACACTCACTTAACCGATCACATGCGTTACAATATTTCAGGAATAGGAAGTACTTTTTCATGCCTGTTTATAGTGAGGTTCCATGTATGAACCTTTGTGACAGTAAAGTTATACCTTACCTTACCATACCATACCTTACCTTACCTTACCTTACCTTACCTTACCTTACCTTACCTTACCTTACCTTACCTATACCCTTACCTTTCATTTACATTACCTTACCATACCTTACCTTACCTTACCTTATCATTCGTCACGTTTTGCAAGTTGATGCTCAGCAACCTTCTGCTGCACAAGTTGTGATATGATCAGATGATACAGTTGTGTTGATTCTACTTCTGAAGGTTGTTCAAAAGGTGAAAACGTCTGTTCTATTTGACAAAGGCACTGGTGACAAACGAAGACTTCTGGATGTACAAAGTATCATCAATCTGAAAGGGTCCGCTCTGTGCAATTCGGTATTCATGCATTTACAGGACGTGATACCACCAGTGCCTTTGTCAAATGCGGCAAAGTTCTCCCCATTGAGCTTCTCGAATCTCACCCTGAATTTGTGAATGCTTTTTCGAAGATGGGACTTTCTGATGAGATAGCTACTGACTTGTTGATGTCTTTGAACTCCTTTGTCTGTCATATGTATGGTCAAGTCACAAACAATGTAAATGGGGCTCGCTATCAAATCTTCATGAAGAAGTTAAAACCAAGGGAGGTCAGACTATGACAAGCTATGATGATGTAGACATGAGACTCCTTCCACCTTGCAGAGACTCCCTACACATGCACATGCAGCGTGCGATTAACAGGCCTTGATCTTGGTCAATGCTGACAAGAATTCCCCCAGTGTTGCTCACCCTGTTGGCTAAGGGTGGCTTAAAGGGGGAATAGATGCTCTGAAACGTCAATGGACGATAGGCAACATCCTTCCACAAGAGTTGACAGACAAAATATCCAGCAAGAACTTAGATTTGAGTAGAATGGAGGATTCAGACGAAGTTGAGATTGAGAGTCTTGTGGACACAATCTATGATGATTCAGCATAAAGGAATATAAATAGAAGTAATGGTAACTCAATGTTATAAAAAGCCAAAGTGAGAATAAACAACCATACTTTAAGTATAGCTGTAACATTAATTTTGATCATTTTAGAGCAATTGAAGAAATAATACGTTCTTTAACCAACTGCCAACTAGACAGTGTAGAAAAACAGCATTCAAGTCTCATTTCCCCTTAGACACAATGCATTTTTCAAATTTAAAGTTTTCCTGTGCCTCTAACTAAATAATTAATGTTAGATATTTTCATTGTTCCTAATAAAGGGCAGTTATTAGACTGTATTTTGTGAAAAAAAGGAAAAACTCATTTTTCCAAATTGTTTACCCCCTGGCCCCTCTCTTCGGGGGGCAGTGCATGGAAAATCCCCACCACCCAAACTACAATAAACCATCTCAAAGTCTTTCCACGCTTTAAGTGTACTTAAGTGTACTTTACCTTACTTTACCTATAACCTTACCTTACCTATACCCTTACCTTACTTTACCTTACCTATACCCTTACCTTACTTTACCTTACCTTACCTTACCTTACCTTACCTATACCCTTACCTTACCTTACCTTACCTTACCTTACCATACCATACCTTACCTTACCTTACCTTACCTTACCTTACCTTACCTTACCTTACCTTACCTTACCTTACCTTACCTTACCTTACCTATACCCTTACCTTACCTTACCTTACCTAACCTATACCCTTACGTTACTTTACCTTACCTTACAATACCTTACCTTACCTTACCTTACCTATACCCTCACCTTACTTTACCTTACCTTACCTTACCTTACCTATACCCTTACCTTACCTTACCTTACCTTACCTATACCCTTACCTTACCTTACCTTACCTTACCTTACCTTACCTTACCTTACCTTACCTTACCTTACCTTACCTTACCTTACCTTACATTACCTCTTTTCGGAGGATCGACCAAAGCTTCATAAGCATGTTATGAAGCATGTTATGAACGGAAACTATATCCAAACAATTTTGACACATTTTAGTTCCGTCTAGTTTCCTGTATTTCAGATGATTTAGTGTGAAGGTTAAACCCTAAGGTTTAAACGTTTGAACATCGACACCATGTTAAATCTTGTTCTTCGGGTTGTAGTACGTCGTTGTTGTTCAAATCTGCTCTCGTCACTTTGCTTGTGACGGGTACAGTAAGGTGAGAGATAACGATTACCTTTTCGTAAACACCCAGTTGCATCCGTCTTTATGGTGCATGTATGGGACATTTCAAAATCTGACATCACAAAACATGATGACTAAAATGATGCTATTTTGACTTGCAGCGGATGTCCTCTTGCTTTGCCAAGTATAATTCCCTATTCTGACTTGTGTTTATGTGTGTTTGTCATGAGCACTTCCCTTATTTGTCTCTTATTCACGTGTGTTTGTCAGATGGCCAATTAACTTGCCCTTGTGTGTGTTTGTGACCTGTTCCAGGATACGCCCATCGTTTCGCAAACACATGATGTCATCGCCATTCGATTTTCATTCATAAAGACAGATGATGATATAGGCAGACCAATACAATGGGTTCTTTATTATGGCATTCTTATGATTATGCAAGTATTTTTGTGTTTTCCGGGACACAGGATAATAAAAACAAGACTGATTCTTCTAAATGAATTTTATTCAGTAAAGCAAGCTTCAAAGCAGAAACACAACCGAACAATGCGAAACGCATTAATTTACAATATATTTCATCTTATTTAGAATTTAGCCTCAGGGAGGCCTTTTGAATATGGTTCATTTGCAATTCTGAACTATAGTTTGATTTAATAGTTTGGGGGAATGAAATTTAAGGAAATAGGTAACACGAGTTGGTAACGTTGACTGCAGTCGTGGTGTCCTGAATAGATTTGTTTTGGTGGGTGGAAATCAGTTAACTTCTCGGTTTCTGTCTCAGTCTTTGTAAAGAAGGTCACACCTTGAAAGTGAAAGGAATGGTAAGATTATCATCTAAAAGTTAAATAGTTTTGGATTTTATGAAACGATATGATTGCGAGTTTTATCTTAGATTCCGTTCTTGTAGTTTGTCATTACCATTGTTGTTTATTTTATCAACGTGAGACACATAGACAAATTCTTTACATAAACATTATAAGGTTTGGTGCATGCTTTCACTTTGACCAACCAAACATTTGCCAAAAGTCGCCTGTCGTCCTTTGAAATCATCTTTGAAAAGGCATGGTTTATTTGACTTACAAATTGTTAGATGTAGACATTAAAGACCGCTAGAATATAACTGGTTATGAAGGTCGCGTCACTAACCTGTGTATTTTTCATTTCTTTAATTTTCTTTTTTCCTTTTTGGTTTATTGTTTTATCTTATCCTGTATGACAACCATGTGACCTGTGTGTGTATGTCATCCCTATAATCTTCTACGTCCATCTACTACCAAAGTATGCACTGTTTTGTTTTTGTACGTTAAGCTGCTAATCAATGTACGCTATATTTTATTCTTATTTTGTACTTTGACCGCCTCCGTGGTGTAGTGGTAAGAGAGTCCACCCGGAGAGCGGGAGGTCGCGGGTTCGATCCCCGACCGCGTCATACCAAAAGACGTTAAAATATGGTACTTGTTGGTCCCTGCCTGACGCTCGGCATTAATGGGTACAATAAGGACTGGTCGGCTCGGAGTCAGTATACTGTGTCTGAGTGGGGTATTCATGCTTCACTGCAGCATGGTATCTCAGTGAGCTAGCACTATAATACCAGCTTAAGTCTGGGCTAGTACAAGCAGCCGCCCATACACATACACACGCATGCACGTCGTCATATCAGCGAACTATTCTCAAGCATGCCCTATCCTTTATTGTTTTGTACGTTAATTGTTTTATTCTTACCTTGAACGCCAACCTACTACCAGTGTATGCATTGTTTTATTCTTGTTTTTCTGTTAAGAAAATAGACTGCATATCGTTTTGATCTTATCCTGAACTTTAAGCTACTAAGCTGTCTATGAATTGTTTTGTTCTCATCCTGTACTTGAAACTACTAGCCTGTGTGCTCTGTTTACTATTCTGTATGACAACCGGTAACGTGTTGCATGTATTTATTTGTTCGTTATGTCAAGCTACTATCCAGTGTATGTATTGTATGCTCTGATCTTTATGTCAAGCTACAACATCTTCAATATTTTCTTCTTCATCTAAATGTCAAACTACACACTAAACAATATGTCTATTTTTAGCTAATGTCATTATGTCATGTGTCTTTCTCGTGTGTGCATTACTTGTCCTGTATGTCAAGCTACAAACTTGCGCCTGTTTTTGTTTTTTTTCTATAATGTATATGAAGGCACAATCCTGTGCGTGCTTTGTTTTGTTCATATCCTGTATGACAAGCTACAATCCTGTGCGTGCTTTGTTTCGTTCCTGTATGCCAAGCTACAATCCTGTGCGTGCTTTGTCTTGCCATAAACCTTATGTTATGCAACAAATCTGTAATTCAAATGTTTATAGTTTTATCCTTGTTTCAACGTACTCACTTGGACATGCATTGTTTTGTTTTACTCGACGTTGTTAGTTTCCTGCGTCTATGGCCTCAGTGCCTCCAGAAATTCTGGACTTAATGGTACCCTAAACACAAAGGTCAAACATGTTAAAAACTCCCTGTGTTTACTGCAGGACCTGTTTTGCATCAAACCATATGAAATCGTCTCTTCATCTGTTACATGACTGAATAATTTTACCCCAACATACAATATTTCAAGTAAATAGTAGAGATCCTTAGCTGTGGATCCGCTCAGTTCAGGTACGTCTGAGCTCATGCATCTCCCCACAGCTCATAAGTGTGAATTTGAACTCCGCTGAGCACACGCGTGTGAGCTGCAGTGCTGCTCAGTTCATGTATGTCTGAGCTGTAACTCCGCGCAGCTCCTGTATACCTGGGCTTGACCTCCGCTCAGTTCATATATCTCAGGGCTGCTACTCCCACCAACTCATGTATGTCTAGGGTGGAGCTTCCCAAAGTTCATGTATGGGAACTTGAACTCCCACGCAGTTCAGATCATATCATGCTTGACTGTCCTTGAACTCCGCATAGCTGAGGTAAACCTAAGTTAGACCGCCACTCAGATCTATGTCTGAGCTGGAACTCATCTCCATTCCTGCATGTCTGAGCTCCCAGATTTCTAATGTGATCCAGATCAGGCAGAATGTGATGTTTAAGAGATTGTTGATTTGAAAAATGGTGATCTTGATAATCATTAAATGAAATTGAAGTTTGGCAAGGGCAAAAGCAGAAACCCTTGCATGATGTTTCGCTTTGTATGCAAATCGACCCTTATTATGTTGAACTAGTAGTGATGAGATATGTGCACCATAATCCTTTCTATGTCTTATTATGTCTTTGTGAAGAGAGTAACGGTATCGAAAGAAACCTAACCCAAAAAAGGAAATATGTCCTCCGATTTTCACATTCATCTCGAATAAATCAATTCCCACCTGCTATCGGCGTATTTCGTTGTCCAAACAAAATCATGACAATGTGTAATTATGGCAAAATCAATGTATCCTTTCGTACGAAAGGGCAATATTTTGATTTATTCATTAAATCTTTCTTCGAAGATACAATTCTTTCCTCGAATGCCATCAATTATTGCTTTTTAGGGAGGAAAATGAAAGTGCTGACTCGGTTCATACGTTATATCTTCTACATTCAAAAGGACTTGGATTAAAAACATGGCAAGAAACTCATACTTACGTACTATTTCCGGATGTTTCGACCATCTCAACTATAAGAGAAATGGCAAACACTTCAGGTGAGCATTGTTGAAGATAGGACATAAAGCTTTGTCTGTACAAGACAAACGATTGCTTAACAGCATGAACATTTGCACATCAGATTTTGTAACCACACATCCTTGTTTAGTCAGCTCGGAAGATGTCCCGCTGTTAAACTATGATCTATTGGTGTGCTTATGAAAGGACTCTACAAGTATAAACTAGCTCACCCATTTGTAGGATGCTCTCTAACAACGCCTGTCGGTCCCCGAACATCTGCAGCAGAAACAAACCTGAGGCAATGCAACGTTGTAGCACAACTACTGTGAGCAAGAATATGTGATTTAGCGTAAAAAGTTTATCAGGATAATCAACAATATTTCAGCTGTATGACGCCGTATATTCACTCAGCAACATTAAAGCCCGCTTTTTACACACTGAGCATCGATCTTCGCAATAGCAAGACACCATTTAATGTCAGTAACCTTGTGACTTTGTCCCTTGACCTCATATCAAGTTTACAATGAAACGCCAATCCCGACTTAACGACATCCTTTAATGTCAATAACGTTAAGGGCGTATTCAAGAGAAATATATGCGTATATTTTACATATCAATAATCATTATCATCAAACTCACCAGTTTCACATTAAAAAAATATGAAAGCAAAACTACTCATAGCTTTTTTTTGTGTGTGTGTGTGTGTGTGTGTGTGTGTGTGTGTTATTCTCTAAATAACCATTGAAATTATATATTAGTAAAGGAGTAAACAGTAAAAAAATATGATGACGTAGTCTCCTTGACATGATCAGTGAGGATGTTTCTTTGAGCATCGACACTCACCGCTTCGTCGTTATTATAGACTGATGCTCCATCCGTGACAGCGCTCACCACCAGCGCCAGTAACACAACAACGGCGATCTTCATTCTGTCAACTGCAACAATGAAACTGGTAATGAAAATGGTGGAGAATATGGTGTGCTTTTGACAGAGGAGACCCCAGTGGGATCATCCAGTAACAGGGCTTTGGGGTAGCCTGATGGTTAAAGCTTTCGCTCGTCTTGCAAGACCCGGATATGATTACCCGCATAAATACAATGTGTGAAGCTCATTTCTGGTGTTCCCCGCCGTTATATTGCTGGAATATTGCTAAAAGCGGCGTAAAACCAAACTCACTCACTAACTCATCCAGTAAGCACGTTGCTGAAACCAACAAACATGTGCATGGTCCTGACACAGTACAGATCATAAGTAACGAGTGAGTGAGTGAGTTTAATTTTACGCCGCACTCAGCAATAACCCAGCAATATGGCGGCGGCGGTCTGTATATAATCGAGTCTGGACCACACAATCCAGTGATCAACAACATGAGCATGGATCTGCGCAATTTGGAACCGATGACATGTGTCAACCAAGTCAGCGAGCCTGACCACCCGATCCCGTTCGCCTCTCACGACAAGCATTGGTTACTGAAGATCAATTCGAACCCGGACCTTCACGGGTCTGGATCATGAGTAAATAGCATAAACTTAATGAGTGAGTTGCTATGGTTTTACGCAGATCTGAGCAATACTTCAGCAATATCACGGCGGGGGACACCAGAACCGAGCTTCACACATTGTATTTATGCGGGTAATCATACCCGGGTCTTGCAAGACGATGAAAGCTTTAACCATGAGCTTCCCACCACCACTTAAGCATAAGGAACGCAATACTGCAGAACTCTCAGCCACCCGTACCCTCTATAACAAACAGGTGCGGTGATGGAGATCTTACCTTGTGACGCTCTGTGTCTTTCTTGCACTATGAGGTGTAGACAATCTGAGTAATGGGTTCACGCTAGTATTTATAAGCTCCCTGTAATTGGATTTACAGGGTTGTAATTGTATTTACAGCGGATACCTTCATGACAGCTCTTTATGAACTCACTCAACCGTGTGTTGTGTTATATTAAAGTGTGTAATTGAACTGCTGTACAATGAAACCTCGGTTACCCGACAGAAACTGTCCAGATTAACGCATCATGGGTATGCAGTAGGATCCCCAGTTCTCGAGACTCGCAACAGAAATGTTCTCCTGTCCAAAGATATGCTTCACTGCAGCCACCAATTATAAAATTTAAAAATGTGTTAATTTCATAAGCAGAAATGTACTTAGTGAAACGATATGATTGTATAAACAAATGAATCTATTTGCAAATGATACTTCCAAAATGATATGATCTCATTTTATCATGTCATGTTTAGAGTTATGGAAGGACAGCACTTTCACCTCATGTGTTAAACAACATGGCATTATTATATCCAGAATTGAGAGAAGAATGGCGGTATGTAATAAGGACTGGATCCAGAAGCAAAATATCAAAACAATGTACACAATGTAATACCTTTGCTAATGTTAACTATAACCATATCATCCTAAACTGTGGGTATGTACTTGTGCTGTGGTACTGTGGATATGTGGGGAGGGAGACAAAGAGATGCATTTTTTTCAGCTGTAATCGATAATCTTGATGCTGTATTGTATGTCAAAATAGAGGTGATGGAAGAGCATGACATTCTAGCATTATTTCTATATCTCAACCAAATTGATGAAGTAACATGATATTTTACTATCTTACTGTTAATAGTTGTATATACAGGGGAAAATGTTCCTACAATCTATATATATTTGTGTGTGTGTGTGTGTGTGTGTGTCTGTTTTGAGTATTCTGTTACGTAATTATTAATTCGACCCTTATTATGTTGAACTAGTAGTGATGAGATATGTGCACCATAATCCTTTCTATGTCTTATTATGTCTTTGTGAAGAGAGTAACGGTATCGAAAGAAACCTAACCCAAAAAGGAAATATGTCCTCCGATTTTCACATTCATCTCGAATAAATCAATTCCCACCTGCTATCGGCGTATTTCGTTGTCCAAACAAAATCATGACAATGTGTAATTATGGCAAAATCAATGTATCCTTTCGTACGAAAGGGCAATATTTTGATTTATTCATTAAATCTTTCTTCGAAGATACAATTCTTTCCTCGAATGCCATCAATTATTGCTTTTTAGGGAGGAAAATGAAAGTGCTGACTCGGTTCATACGTTATATCTTCTACATTCAAAAGGACTTGGATTAAAAACATGGCAAGAAACTCATACTTACGTACTATTTCCGGATGTTTCGACCATCTCAACTATAAGAGAAATGGCAAACACTTCAGGTGAGCATTGTTGAAGATAGGACATAAAGCTTTGTCTGTACAAGACAAACGATTGCTTAACAGCATGAACATTTGCACATCAGATTTTGTAACCACACATCCTTGTTTAGTCAGCTCGGAAGATGTCCCGCTGTTAAACTATGATCTATTGGTGTGCTTATGAAAGGACTCTACAAGTATAAACTAGCTCACCCATTTGTAGGATGCTCTCTAACAACGCCTGTCGGTCCCCGAACATCTGCAGCAGAAACAAACCTGAGGCAATGCAACGTTGTAGCACAACTACTGTGAGCAAGAATATGTGATTTAGCGTAAAAAGTTTATCAGGATAATCAACAATATTTCAGCTGTATGACGCCGTATATTCACTCAGCAACATTAAAGCCCGCTTTTTACACACTGAGCATCGATCTTCGCAATAGCAAGACACCATTTAATGTCAGTAACCTTGTGACTTTGTCCCTTGACCTCATATCAAGTTTACAATGAAACGCCAATCCCGACTTAACGACATCCTTTAATGTCAATAACGTTAAGGGCGTATTCAAGAGAAATATATGCGTATATTTTACATATCAATAATCATTATCATCAAACTCACCAGTTTCACATTAAAAAAATATGAAAGCAAAACTACTCATAGCTTTTTTTTGTGTGTGTGTGTGTGTGTGTGTGTGTGTGTGTGTTATTCTCTAAATAACCATTGAAATTATATATTAGTAAAGGAGTAAACAGTAAAAAAATATGATGACGTAGTCTCCTTGACATGATCAGTGAGGATGTTTCTTTGAGCATCGACACTCACCGCTTCGTCGTTATTATAGACTGATGCTCCATCCGTGACAGCGCTCACCACCAGCGCCAGTAACACAACAACGGCGATCTTCATTCTGTCAACTGCAACAATGAAACTGGTAATGAAAATGGTGGAGAATATGGTGTGCTTTTGACAGAGGAGACCCCAGTGGGATCATCCAGTAACAGGGCTTTGGGGTAGCCTGATGGTTAAAGCTTTCGCTCGTCTTGCAAGACCCGGATATGATTACCCGCATAAATACAATGTGTGAAGCTCATTTCTGGTGTTCCCCGCCGTTATATTGCTGGAATATTGCTAAAAGCGGCGTAAAACCAAACTCACTCACTAACTCATCCAGTAAGCACGTTGCTGAAACCAACAAACATGTGCATGGTCCTGACACAGTACAGATCATAAGTAACGAGTGAGTGAGTGAGTTTAATTTTACGCCGCACTCAGCAATAACCCAGCAATATGGCGGCGGCGGTCTGTATATAATCGAGTCTGGACCACACAATCCAGTGATCAACAACATGAGCATGGATCTGCGCAATTTGGAACCGATGACATGTGTCAACCAAGTCAGCGAGCCTGACCACCCGATCCCGTTCGCCTCTCACGACAAGCATTGGTTACTGAAGATCAATTCGAACCCGGACCTTCACGGGTCTGGATCATGAGTAAATAGCATAAACTTAATGAGTGAGTTGCTATGGTTTTACGCAGATCTGAGCAATACTTCAGCAATATCACGGCGGGGGACACCAGAACCGAGCTTCACACATTGTATTTATGCGGGTAATCATACCCGGGTCTTGCAAGACGATGAAAGCTTTAACCATGAGCTTCCCACCACCACTTAAGCATAAGGAACGCAATACTGCAGAACTCTCAGCCACCCGTACCCTCTATAACAAACAGGTGCGGTGATGGAGATCTTACCTTGTGACGCTCTGTGTCTTTCTTGCACTATGAGGTGTAGACAATCTGAGTAATGGGTTCACGCTAGTATTTATAAGCTCCCTGTAATTGGATTTACAGGGTTGTAATTGTATTTACAGCGGATACCTTCATGACAGCTCTTTATGAACTCACTCAACCGTGTGTTGTGTTATATTAAAGTGTGTAATTGAACTGCTGTACAATGAAACCTCGGTTACCCGACAGAAACTGTCCAGATTAACGCATCATGGGTATGCAGTAGGATCCCCAGTTCTCGAGACTCGCAACAGAAATGTTCTCCTGTCCAAAGATATGCTTCACTGCAGCCACCAATTATAAAATTTAAAAAATGTGTTAATTTCATAAGCAGAAATGTACTTAGTGAAACGATATGATTGTATAAACAAATGAATCTATTTGCAAATGATACTTCCAAAATGATATGATCTCATTTTATCATGTCATGTTTAGAGTTATGGAAGGACAGCACTTTCACCTCATGTGTTAAACAACATGGCATTATTATATCCAGAATTGAGAGAAGAATGGCAGTATGTAATAAGGACTGGATCCAGAAGCAAAATATCAAAACAATGTACACAATGTAATACCTTTGCTAATGTTAACTATAACCATATCATCCTAAACTGTGGGTATGTACTTGTGCTGTGGTACTGTGGATATGTG